ATTCATTTTTATTTATTATTATTTGGAGTCTCACTCTGTGCATCCAGGCTGGAAGTGCAGTGGTGTGATCTCGACTCACACCACTGTGTAAGTAGCAGAGCTGGGATTTGAACCCAGGCCGCTGACTACAGAGTCCTTGCTATGAACCACTACACAGTAGTGCTTGACGAGGAGATGTTTGTGGAATGATGAATAAGTGAACTGAATGTGTCACATGTGCACATATTTGAGCCCAAGTGTATGGCGCGTGTGAGCATATCTGTCCCTGTATGCACTCAGGTGTATGCGAGCGCTCCCATTTGTGCCTGTGTGTACCGAGTGTGTGTACGAGTTCGATTGTGTGTGCTTGTGTCTTTCAGGGGAATAAGGGTGGCCTTGATCCAGCCTAAATTGGGATGTTTCCAGCCCAGGGAGGGTTTAATGAGGGTAGGGAGAGGTCATAGCTGCTCAAGGAGCTGGTGGGAAAACCAGGCCCACCTACATCCTGTCCTGAAGCAGGTTATGCAGATGAGATGCAAATGAGGGCCTAATCCTCAGCCCCACCCAACTCTCCAAAAGCCAACTTGCCCAGCGAACATTTAGATTGTCTCTGCAGCCACAGACTGTGTGAAGGGAGGTGGCAGGGACATAAGGAAGTATTTATAAACCTGTTCCCTTGAATATGAAAAATATCTATGAATAGAAACAGCATAAATAAAATCTTATTCATAAAAATTACAGCCCTGTGAATTCTTCCTATTTGGTAATGTAATGAAGACTATATTAAAAATATATTTTTTCATCAATAGCTTTCTAAGAATATGTTTATAAGTTAAAATCTATAAAGAGAATATTTAGGTATTCTGAAGCCTTTTGCTCACCTCTTTCTTTGCCCCTGGGCATCCCCTGTCTGTTCCTAGGTCTCTTCCCACTTCTGTCTTTCGGTGCCGCCCTACCCGCTTCCCTCAGTCTTCCTCCTCTCTGCCCAGGCTGTGCTAAATGCCAGCTCTTTTTTCTGCCTTTCCTTTTACAGAAGGAGCTTGGGAAGGGACAAACTTAACTTTCTTTTTAAAATGTTGTCAGAATAGGCTGGGTGCAGTGGCTCATGCCTGTAATCCTAGCACTTTGGGAGGCTGAGGCAGGTGGATCACCTGAGGTCAGGAGTTCAAGACCAGCCTGGCCAACATGGTGAAACCCCATCTCTACTAAAAATACAAAAATTAGCCAGGTATAGGGGCGTCCACCTGCAATCCCAGCTACTCGGAAGGCTGAGGTGGGAGAATCGCTTGAACACGGGAGGCAGAGGTTGCAGTGAGCCAAGATCGTGCCACTGCATTCCAGCCTGGGCAACAGAGTGAGACCTTGTCTTAAAAAAAGAAAAAGAAAAAGAAAAAAAATCGCTGTCAGAATAAAAAGCAGTCAACAAAAAGCAAACCCTTATAGGAGACAAATAAATGTGGGTAATTATTTTCTGTGAAACGCCCTCCAAGCCCCTGGGCGCCATTGCCTTCTGTAATAGGACATCACCTGAATAGGCTACCTGGCCTGGAGCCAAGGACCCTCCCTGACTCCCACCTCCCTTTCTGTCTTGTACCCCAGCCGGGTGGAAGAGACCGGAGTGGTGCTGTCCCTGGAGCAAACGGAGCAACACTCTCGCAGACCCATTCAGCGGGGCGCCCCCTCTCAGAAGGACACCCCTAACCCTGGGAACAGCCTTGGTATGGGGCAGGGCTGGGGCTGGGAGGGGTTGTGTCCCCAGGGCCCTTGGGAGAAAGCCCAAGCACCTTAACATGGCTCACCAGGCCCTGTGGGACCTGCCTCTTGACTCCCTTCCCTGTGCACTCCGCCTCCAAACCACACAGCCTCCTAAGAGCCCTTGGAACACTCCAGCCTCGTGCCTCAGGGCCTTTGCACGTGCAGTTTCCCAGAATGCTCTTCTCTCTCCTGTCCTCCCTCCCCTCCTGTGGCTATGGCATGGTTGCTTCAGTCTCTTGCTGGCCTCTGCTCTAAATCCTGCTGTGGCTCCACATTGTCCCCATGCTTCTGCCTCTTCCCTATTCTGGCTTTGCCGCTCTTTGGCTTCCAGTAATCTCGATCCTCCTAAGTCTGGCTCCTTTCTCCCTCTTCCTTCACTCTCCTGCCATCGTGGATGAGCCTCCCTCCCGGTTTGTCCTTCAAGACCTCACCTTCTCCCAGCTGTTGCTGGCCACCCATGCTCCTGGGTGTGGGGTGGGATTGCTGATATAATATCCTTTCCTTTTCTGGCTCAGAGCTGGCTCTGGGCCTTGTCTTAACCTCTGGGGACCTTACAGCCTCCTTGAGGACTTGGGGCCAGTCTTTTCTCCTAAGGTGCAAGCTCCCCAGAGCTGAATGGAATGGCCAAATGCTGATCTGAGCCACCAATCCCCTCCCCTCGGAGTTTTCGGAGCCTCACCACAATCTGGCCACTAAAGTTCACACCCGGGCTGGGTGCAGTGGTTTATGCCTGCAATCCCAGCACTTTGGGAGGCCAAGGTGGGCGGATCACTTGAGGTCAGGAGTCTGAGATCAGCCTGGCCAACATGGTAAAACCCTGTCTCTACAAAAAATACAAAACTTAGCTGGGCATGATGGCAGGCACCTGTAATCCCAGCTACTCCAGAGACTGAGGCACAGAATCACTTGAACCCAGGAGGCGGAGGCTGCAGTGAACTGAGATTATGCCACTGCATTCCAGCCTGGGCAACAGAGCAAGACTCCATCTCAAAAATAAAAATAAAGTTTACCCCTGGCCCAGCAGGGGTCCTCCAGGCCCCTTCCTTACTCCCACACTAAGAACAGTGGCCATCCTGACTTGCTGATGTCAACTGTGTTCCCGGGTGGTGTGGAGGGCTCTGGCCCTTGGCCTTTGGTCACCAGCCCGTGTCCTCCCCGTCTCCATGTGTCCTGCAGACGCCCCTGGCCCCCGGATCCTCGCCTTCCTGCACCCGCCTTCCCTGAGCGAGGCTGCCCTGGCCGCTGACCCCCGCCGTTTCTGCAGCCCTGACCTCCGTCGCCTCCTGGGACCCATCCTGGATGGGGCTTCAGTAGCCGCCACTCCCAGCACCCCGCTGGCCACACGGCGTCCCCGAAGTCCTCTTTCGGTAAGCCATCCCACCCACATGAGCCCTCAGCATCCAAGGCTCCGTCCCTCAGGTGGTCTTGGCCTGTGGCTTAAACCTGATTGTTCTCTGGGCCTCTGTGTAGTGGGGAGGTTGGGTTGAGATGGGGTTGAGGTTCCTTTAAGACGCAGATCCAGATTTTTCAATTGTTAGGATTCCAGAGTCTGGCTCTGTTAGGGAAAAACTCTCTCAAGCTATGTTTTTCCTCTGCTCTCCTGATAATGCAACGATCATCAACACAGAAGAAGACTTCTGTGACCAAATGTGGGCAGTTTTTCCCACACACCAAGCAGCGAACACCAGCTGGGTGTCCTCCAATTCAATTCTGGCACCGTCTACCTGGAGGTAGTGTCAGATCTCACAGGTTGGCCCTCAGTCCCCAAGACTGCTCCCTGCTCTTCAGTCACAGTCACAAGTCCGGGCCTCCAGAATTTCTTTTTTTATTTTTATTTTTGAGATGGAGTTTTACTCTGTCCCCCAGGCTGGAGTGCAGTGGGGCAATCTCGGCTCGCTGCGACCTCCACCTCCAAGGTTCAAGCAATTCTCTTGCCTCAGCCTCCCAAGTAGCTGAGATTACAGGCGTCTGCCACCACGCCTGGTTAATTTTTTGTATTTTTAGTAGAGACAGAGTTTCACCATGTTGGCCAGGCTGGTCTCGAACTCCTGACCTCAAGTGATCTTCCGGCCTTGGCCTCCCAAAGTGCTGGGATTACAGGTGTGAGCCACCGCACCTGGCTCTTTGGGTTTGATTAATTCACTGGAACAGCTCACAGTAATCAGGATAACACTTATTTAGGTTTACTGGTTCATTGTCAAGGATATTGCACGGGATACAGATGAAGGGATACATCAAGTGAGGTATGGGGGAATGCAGGGTCTCAGAGCTTCCATGCTGTCCCTGGGCATCACCCTCCAGAAACCTCCATGGGTCAGCTATCTGGAAGCCCCTCAAACCCAGTCCTCTTGGGTTTTTATGGAAACTTCATGATGTCAGCATTCTTTCTCCCAGGGTATCGGGCAGGACCCTCTCTGGGTACAGTTTTATGACTCACAATCAGAAAGGCGGGGGAAGATTAGAGACCTGCCTTGGGGCAGGTGAAAGGAGGGCAGAAGAAGGCTGGAGAGGTTGTTTCATGAGGCCTAACACACCCAATGTTCTAACAAAAGACTGTTCGAACTGTTTTATTAGACTGTTCTAATAAAAGACTGTTCTAACAAAAGACAAGGGCCATGGGAGTTTGACCCAGGAACCATGCACAAAATCATATATATATATATAAATATATATTTTATATTAAAAATAAATATATAAACATATTTATACATGCAAATTTATTTATATATGCAAATATATTTGTTTACATATGTAAATATATGCATACACATGTATTTATAGTTATACATTTGCATATATGTAAATATGTTTACATGTGTGGATGTATTTGCATATATGTAAATATATTTTTATATATTTTTTTGTGTGTGTGTGTATAAAAAATAACATCATAGGCCCTGTATTAGTCCATCTTCATGCTGCTGCTAAAGATATACCCAAGACTGAGTAATTTATAAACAAAAAAAAGTTTAATGGACTCACAGTTCCACATGACTGGGGAGGCCTCACAATCATGGTGGAAGGTGAAAGGTACGTCTTACATGGCGGCAGGCAAGAGAGAATGAAACCAAGTGAAAGGGGTTTCCCCTTACAAAACCATCAGATCTCATGAGACTTATTCACTATCACGAGGACAGTATGGGGGAGACCGCCCCCATGATTCAATTATCGCCGACCAGGTCCCTCCCACAGTGTGTGGCAATTACGGGAGCTACGGTTCAAGATGAGATTTGGGTGGAGACGCAACCAAACCATATCAGGCCCCTAACCTGGGTTGTTTGGAACTGGCACAGATGACCCTCCTCCCACTCCAGCTTGTGACTAAGCATCCAGTTCTCTGAACTTTGACCTCAAAGAGTCAAAATGTCTAATGTCCTGATTTATACAGACCTGGATTCAATCCTAAATCTGCCATTTATCAGCGGCGTTACCCTGGCTGGGCAGGCAAGTTCTTGAGGCCTTAATTTCTTCACCTATAAAAGAAAGATGATAACATGTCACCACATCATTGGTTATTCTGAGCATTAAATGAGAGTATTCATGAGAAGCACTCAGTAGGGGCCTGGCACCTATTGGTGCTCAACAGATCATACCTGTTACTATCACTATTTGTTGTGAAGATAGTCTGACCTTTGACCTCAGTGAGTCTATATTATCCAGTGTTGACTGTCTTCATCCCCACTCACCACCCCAAGAAAATATCTTCTCTCCAGAGAAATACAGAGTGTGACCTTTGACCTCATCCTTTACTCCTGAGACAGCTGAACTCGCCATTGTTTCCCCCCCAAACTCCAGGCTCCAAGACCTTTAACACCAGAGGATTTGTTTGAAAATCTTGGCCTCAGGCTGGGTACGGTGGCTCACACCTGTAATCTCAGTACTTAGGGAGGCCAAGGTGGAGAGATCATCTGAGGTCAGGAGTTCAAAACCAGCCTGATTGACATGGTGAAACCCTGTCTCTACTGAAAACACAAAAATTAGCCATGTGTGGTGGCGGACGCCTGTAATCCCAGCTACTTAGGAGGCTAAGGCAGGAGAATCCCTTGAATCCGGGAGGTGGAGGTTGCAGTGAGCTGAGACCACACCATTGCACTCCAACCTGGGTGACAGAGTAAGACTCCCTCTCAAAAAAAAAAAAAAAAAAGTCTTTCGGATTTTTTTTTTGTTTTGCGACAGAGTCTCACTGTGTCACCCAGGCTGGAGTGTGGTGGCACAGTCATAGCTCAGTGCAGCCTCCGCTTCCCAGGCTCAAGCCATTCTCCTGCCTCAGCCTCCCTAGTAGCTAGGACCACAGATGTATGCCACCAAGCCCAGCTGATTTTTGTACTTTTAGTAGAGACGGGGTTTCACTATGTTGGCCAAGCTGGTCTTGAACTCCTGATCTCAAGTGCCACCCACCTTGGCCTCCCAAAGTCCTGGGATTACAGGTATGAGTCACTGAGCCTGGCCAGGCTCTGATCCTTCTAACCGGAACTTTCATGTTTGCTCTGTCGCTCTACATACACTCAGGCATTCTGACTTTTGAATACCCAGGCTCAAAACTCATCTGCATTTGCCATTGAACCCCCTTTGTCCCCAGATGCCGGGCATTTGATCCCCACTTCTACCTTTGAGCTGCAGACTGTCTTACTGTTGACATCTCCCAGGCTCAAGATTTCCTAAAGTCTCTACTCCATCTCTCCACAGGCTGATCTCCCAGATGAACTACCTGTGGGAACAGAGAATGTGCACAGACTCTTCACCTCCGGGAAAGACACTAAGGCAGTGGAGACAGATTTAGATATAGCTAAGGTAAGGGCTGGCATGGAAGGAGTAATTCTTAGCCCTGCATTCTGGGGATTCACATATGTGGCTTTAGAGAAGGTTAGTGGGATGGCTAAAGGAATGAGTGGATGGATGGATGGATGGATGGATGGATGGATGGATGGATGGACCATTGTATTCATTAGGTGGATGATAGAGGATGAATGGATGAGGTTTAGGCAGATATTCTAATGGATGGATTGATGGGTGGATGGGTGGGTGGGTGGATGAATGTTTGGGTGGATATTTTGATAGCTGGATGAAAAATGGATGGGTGATATTTGGATAGATGATTTACTGAGTGCATAGATAAAATGACAGCAGCATGATGTATTAGTTATTATTGCTGTGTAACAAATTGTCTAAAAACTTAACACCTTAGAACAACAACTATTTATTATGTCACATGGTGACTGGGTATCAGAAATTCAGGAGCAACTTAACTGCTGGTTTTTGCTCAGAGTCTCTCACGAGGTTGAAGTCAAACTCTCAGTCAGGGCTGTAGTCATCTGGGGTTAGAAGGTTTTCTTCCAAGCTCACACACATGAGGTGGCTGGCAGGCCTCAGTCCCTCACTTTGCTTTGGCTGGAGGCCTCAGTTCCTCATCACATGAACCTCTACATAGACTCCCTAAGTGTCCTCACAACATGGCAATTGGCTTCCGTAAGGCAAGCAATCCAACAAAGAGAGAAAGAGACAAATGGGGAAGCAGAGAGACAGAAAGAACAAGTCCCAGACTGAAGACACAGTCTTTCATAGCCTAATCTCAGAAGTGACAAACCATCGCTTCTGCCATATTGTTCTGGTCATATAGATCAATCCTGTACACTGTGGGAGGCAACAACACAAGAGTGTGAACATCAAGAGGCAGGGATTGGCTGGGCGCGGTGGCTCACACCTGTAATCCCAGCACTTTGGGAGGCCAAGGCGGCTGGATCATGAGGTCAGGAGATCGAGACCATCCTGGCTAACACGGTGAAACCCCATCTCTACTAAAAATACAAAAAATTAGCCAGGCATGGTGGCAGGCGCCTGTAGTCCCAGCTACTCGGGAGGCTGAGGCAGGAGCATGGCATGAACCCGGGAGGTGGAGCTTGCAGTGAGCCGAGATTATGCCACTGCACTCCAGCCTGGGCAACAGAACGAGACTCCATCTAAAAAAAAAAAAAAAAGAGAGGCAGGGATCATTGGGAACTTCCAATGATTGATTTCTCTCCCTCATGCAAAATACACTCACCCACATATCAAGGCCCCCCAAAGTCTCCCAGAGTTTCTTCCCATTACAGCATCAGCTTGAAGTCCAGAATCGGATCATCTAAATCTGGTCTGGGTGCTGGGAAAACTCCTTGAGTACAGTTCCTCTCAACATTTTGACTTGTGGACTAATGGAGACGAGTCATCTGTCACCCACATACTCAATATATAGTGGTGAGACAGGAATAAACACTACTATTCAAAAAGGACGGGGAAGAGGAGCATGCATATATCCCTGGTCCATAGCAGTTTTGAAATCTATGTGGGCAAATATCAGAAGTTATTTCGTTCGGACTTTAAAAAAAAACTGGGGGCCAGGCACGGTGGCTCACACCTGTAATCCCAGCACGTTGGGAGGCTGAGGCAGGTGGTTCACGAGGTCAGGAGATCGAGACTATCCTGGCCAACATGGTGAAACCCTGTCTCTACCAAAAATAAAAATAAAAATAAAATTAGCTACGCGTGCTGGCACATGCCTATAATCTCAGCTACTCGGGAGGCTGAGGCAGGAGAATCACTTGAACCAGGGAGGCAGAGGTTGCAGTGAGCCGAGATTGTGCCACTGCACTCCAGCCTGATGATAGAGCAAGATTCTTGTCTCAAAAAAAAAAAAAAATTATAAAAATAGAGACAGGTTGGCCGGGCGCGGTGGCTCAAGCCTGTAATCCCAGCACTTTGGGAGGCCGAGACGGGCGAATCACGAGGTCAGGAGATCGAGACCATCCTGGCAAACACAGTGAAACCCCGTCTCTACTAAAAATACAAAAAACTAGCCGGGCGAGGTGGCGGGCGCCTGTAGTCCCAGCTACTCAGGAGGCTGAGGCAGGAGAATGGCGTAAACCCGGGAGGCGGAGCTTGCAGTGAGCTGAGATCCAGCCACAGCACTCCAGCCTGGGCGACAGAGCGAGACTCCATCTCAACAACAACAACAAAAAAATAGAGGCAGGGTCTCACTATATTGCCCAGGCCTGTCTTGAACTCCTGGGCTCAAGTGATCCTTTCATCCTGGCCTCCTAAAGTGCTGGGATTAGAGGTGTGAGCCACTGTGCCTGGCCCGAGGGTGCCCTTCATTGCTCAGAGATCACCTTTTTCTCTTTTTTTTTTTTTTTGAAACGGAGTCTCACTCTGTCACCCAAGCTGGAATACAGTGGCTTAATCTTGGCTCACTGCAACTTCCGCCTCCCAGCTTCAAGTGACCCTCTGGCCTCAGCCTCCCGAGTAGCTGGGACTACAGGTGCCCACCACCATGCCCGGCTAATTTTCATATTTTTAGTAGAGATGAGGTTTCACCAGGCTGGCTCAGAGACCACTTCTTTTTTTTCTTTGAGACAGAGTCTTGCTCTGTCGCCCAGGCTAGAGTGCAGTGGCCGGATCTCAGCTCACCGCCAGCTCCACCTCCTGGGTTCACGCCATTCTCCTACCTCAGCCTCCCGAGTAGCTGGGACTACAGGTGCCCGCCACCATGTCCGGCTAATTTTTTGTATTTTTAGTAGAGACGGGGTTTCACCATGTTAGCCAGGATGGTCTCGATCTCCGGACCTCATGATCTGCCCGTCTCGGCCTCCCAAAGTGCTGGGATTACAGGCGTGAGCCACCGCACCTGGCCTAGAGACCACTTCTTAATGTTAGCATCATTTCCATCCAGAGGGCTCCTGCAGTCAGCCAAACTCAAGGTTAATGGCATGGTTCTCCAGACTGCAGAGTCTGCCCAGACTTCTGACATCAGCCACAAGTTTGAGGGTCCTCAGGGCCACCCTCACTTTAGACCAGCTGCCTACCAATGTGGAGATTCCCAGACTCCTGTAGACTCCCTCCGGTTTGATAATTTGCTAGAAGTGTTCGTGGTACTCAGAAAGTGCTATACTTAGGATGGTAGTTTTATCATAACAAAAGAATACAAATCAGAAACAGACAAAGGAAGATATTCATAGGTGGAATCTGGGACTGGAAGGTCCCAAACGGAAAGTTTTCTTGTCCTCAGGGACATGTTATCCTCCCAGCATTGATATGTAGCAATATGTGCAGAGTAATGCCAACTCAGGAAACTCACCAAAGCATCAATGTTCAGAGTTTTTATTAGGGTTTTATTGCATAGGCATGATTGAGCAAATTACTGCCCATGTAATTGAATTCAGTCTCCAATGCCACGCCTACCTTCCCTGGATCCGGCTGATTTTGTGTGGACCAAAGCCCCAACCCTCTAATCACAGTGGTTGTTTTTTCTGCATGGCCAGCCTCCATCCTGAGTTATCTCATTAGCATAAACTTTCTAGGGGCTCACCATGAGTCACCTGGTTAGCACAGATTATCCAAAAGACCCACAGTGAATAGCAAAGACACTCCTATCACTCAGAAAATTCCAGAGGTTTAGAGGTTACCTTCCAGGAGCTGGGACAAAAGCCAGACCTCTCTTTGGGTACAGTTAATTATTCACTGCACAAGGATGTTGAGAATATTCAAAACCTTCAAGTCCTATCTCCTTCATGTTTAACATCTCTTCCTTTAGGAGAAATATTTTTTATCTCTCTCTCCTCTTACCTTTTACTGTAAGTAACAAGAAGAAATCAGGCAGCCCCTTCAACACTCTGGCTGGGAGTCTTAGCTGGACCACCTAGTGTATTTGTTGTATTTTCTACTTTCTACGTAACTGCAAGCAGCAGTGTTGCTAAACTTTCAGCCACTACAGGACAAAAATTCCCTTTCCTCTGGTTTCCAGTATGTTTCCCACTTCTCTCTAAGCCCTCACTGAGTCTTCTCAATGTTCAGAATTTTTTTTTTTTTTTTGAGACAGAGTCTCGCTCAGTCGCTCAGGCTGGAGTGCAGTGGTGTGATCTTGACCTCAGCTCACTGCAAGCTCCACCTCCCGGGTTCACACCATTCTCCTGCGTCAGCCTCCCGAGTGGCTGGGACTACAGGCGCCCGCCACCGCGCCCGGTTTGTATTTTTAGTAGAGATGGGGTTTCACCGTGGTCTCGATCTCCTGACCTCATGATCCACCCGCCTCGGCCTCCCAAAGTGCTGGGATTACAAGCGTGAGCCACCGCGCCCGGCCGCAATGTTCAGATTTTGACCAGTAGTTTCTCTGAGGTATTTAGGATTTCTTTTTTTTTCTTTTCTTTTCTTTTTTTTTTTCTTTTTTGAGACAGTGTTTCACTGTGACACTCAGGCTGGACTTCAATGGTGTGATCATGACTCACTGCAACCTCAAACTCCTGGGCTGACACAATCCTCCCACCTCAGCCTCCTGAGTAATTAGAACTGCAGGCATGGGCCACCACACCTGGCTAATTTTTTTCTTTTTTGTGTAGGTGGGGGTCTCGCTATGTTACCCAGACTGGTCTCTTAATTTCTAGCCTCAACTGATGCTCCCAACTCAGCCTCCTAAAAGCTCTGGGATTACAGGTGTGAGCTCCCATGCTTCTGACCCAATTTAGGATTTCTCTAACATGCTCTTCAGGGAGTCCTTATACCCATTTTACAGATGAGGAAACTGAAGCTCAGACTGTTGGCCACAGTCACAGAACTCAGAAGTGGTGGTGCTGGGACTTTAGCCAAGGTCCACCCAAGTCCAAGGCTTATGCTCTTACCTCCCTCCTGCCCTCCGCAGGATGCCGATGCTCTGGATTTGGAGATGCTGGCCCCCTACATCTCCATGGATGATGACTTCCAGCTCAACGCCAGCGAGCAGCTACCCAGGGCCTACCACAGACCTCTGGGGGCTGTCCCCCGGCCCCGTGCTCAGAGCTTCCATGGCCTGTCACCTCCAGCCCTTGAGCCCTCTCTGCTGCCCCGCTGGGGTAGTGACCCCCGGCTGAGCTGCTCCAGCCCTTCCAGAGGGAACCCCTCAGCATCCTCTTCCATGGCTGGGGCTCGGAAGAGGTGAGCCACAGTAAAGGGGGGACATCAAGGGAGCATCCCCTCACCCCGTCTTGCCCCTGCCTCCTGCTTCAGCCTCATCCCTCACCATTTCTCTAACCCTGATCTCTGCTCCAGCCAGGCCCTCAGTGGGCCCAGCACCTGCCAAGTTTGTGCCAATCTCTATGCCTTTGCCTAGGCCGTACACCCCTTCTGGAGTGCCCTCCACTGCTCTCACCATTTATCCAAATCCTGTCAACCAGAGCTCTCACCTGTCAACCAGGGCTGTCTCCTTTGGAACAAAGTTATATCTGATCTAGTGACAATTTTTGTCAGAGTTTAGAAGACATTGCTGCAGTGTCAGAGAAACTATTAAGCTGGGTGTGGTAGTGCATACCTGTAGTCCCAGCTACTTGGGAGGCTGAGGTGGGAAGATCTCTTGAGCCCAGGAGATCCAGGTTGCAGTGAGCTGTGATTGTGCCACTGCACTCCAGCCTGGGCAACAGTGAGACACTGTCAAGAAAAAAAAAAAAAAAAGATGAAAGAAAGAGAGAGAGTGGAGAGAGAGGAAGGAAGGGTGGAAGGAAGGAAGGGAGGGAGGGAGGGAGGGAAGGAAGGAAAGGAAAAAGGAAAAGAAACTGTCTAGAACTAAATTGCAAGCATGTGCTCATTTTGAATCCAGAGTGGTCTTATCCTTATGGATACGTCTTGGTATCTTCCAAGGCTCCCAGCTTGGTACTGGCTATAAAGTGGGTGCCTGATAAAGACTTATTAAATGAGGGAGGGAGGGAATTATTAATGAATATAGTTGGCACTTCAATGGGTGGACAGGTGGATGGATGGATGGATGGGTCAATGGAAGGACAGATGGATGGATGTGTAGGTGAAAGGGTGTATGTATGTATGTGTGTAAGTGTGGATGGATGGATGGATGGATGGATAGATGTCTGGGTAGACAGAAGGATGGATGGATGGGTCAATGGATTGATGGGTGGCTGGAAGGATGGATGGATGGATGGTTGGATGGACGCATGGATGGATGGATGGATGGATCGATGGATGGATGGATGGATGGATGGATGGATGGATGGATGGTGGATGGATGGCAGATGGATGGTGGATGGACAGCGGATGGATGGATGGATTAATGAATGGATTAATGGATGGATGTATGGATGGTGGATGGATGGTGGATGGATGGCGGATGGATGGATGGATGACGGATGGATAGATGGATGGTGGATGGATGGATAGATTGTGGATGGATGGCAGATGGATGGTGGATGGATGGCAGATGGATGGATGAGTCAGTGGATTAATGGATGGATGGATGGATGGATGCATGGATGGTAGATGGATGGCAGATGGATGGCGGATGGATGGATGGCAGATGGATGGTGGATGGATGGATGGCAGATGGATGGTGGATGGATGGCGGATGGATGGATGGATTAATCAATGGATTATGGATGGTGGATGGATGGCAGACGGATGGGTGGGTGGATGGATGGATGGATGGATGGTGGATGGATGGATGGCAGATGGGTGGTGGATGGATGGCGGACAGATGGATGGATGCATGGATGGTAGACAGATGGCAGATGGATGGTGGATGGATGGTGGATGGATGGATGGATGGACTAATCAATGGATTAATGGATGGTGGATGGATGGCAGATGGATGGCAGATGGATGGATTAATCAATGGATTAATGGATGGCTGGATGGATGGATGCATGGATGGTAGATGGATGGCAGATGGATGATGGATGGATGGTGGATGGATGGATGGATGGATGAATCGGATGGATGGATGGATGGATGGATGGATGGATAGATGGTGGATGGTGGGCAGACAGATGGTGGATGGACTGCAGGTGGATGGATGGATGGCTGGATGGATGGATGGATGGATGGATGATGGCAGATGGATGGCGGATGGATGGATGGATGAATCAATGGATTAATGGATGGATGGATGGGTGGATGGATGGTGGATGGCAGATGGATGGAGGATGGATGGATGGATGGATGGATCAATGGATGGATGAATGGATGGATGGATGTTGGATGGCAGATGGATGGAAGATGGATGGATGGATGGATGGACGGATGGATGGATGGATGGATGTTGGAAGGCAGATGGATGGAGGATGGATGGATGGATGGATGGATGGATCAATGGATGGAGGATGGATGGATGGACGGATGGATGGATGGATGGATGGATGTTGGAAGGCAGATGGATGGAGGATGGATGGATGGATGGATGGATGGATGGATGGATGGATCAATGGATGGATGGATGGGTGGGTGGGTGGATGGATGGATGGATGGTGGATGGCTAGCAGACAGATGGTGGATGGACGGCGGATGGATGGATGGATGGGGGATGGATGGATGGATTAATCAATGAATTAATGGATGGTGGATGGATGGCGGATGGATGGATGGGTGGATGGATGGATGAATGGATGGATGGTGGATGGATGGATGGATGGATGGTGGATGGATGGATGGATGGATGATGGCAGATGGATGGCAGATGGATGGATGGATGAATCAATGGATTAATGGATGGATGGATGGATCAATGGATGGATGGATAGATGGAGGGATGGATGGATGGATCAATGGATGGAAGGATGGATAGTGGATGGTTGGCAGACAGATGGTAGATGGATGGCAGATGGATGGATGGATGGGTGGATGGTAGATGGCTGGGTGGAAGGATGGATAGATAGATGGAGGACAACTAGGTGGATAAATAGGTGGATGAATGGAAGGATAAATGGATAGAGGTTGTTTGGGTGAGTGGGTGGGTGATGGATCATTGGATAAATGAGAAGGTGGATTGGTGGATGAATGGATGGAGGGACTGGTGGATGTGTGAGTAAAGGAATAAATAGGTACTCAGAGGAGTGAACGAATGCTCATCACCTGCTTACACTGTTACCCACACTTGCCCAGGTTTGCTGTGTCCTGAGATTCTTGCCTGTTTTCCTCCAGGACCCTGGCCCAGAGCTCAGAGGACAAGGACGAGGGAGTGGAGCTGCTGGGAGTGAGACCTCCCAAAAGGTCCCCCAGCCCAGGACCCGAAAACTTTCTGCTGTTTCCCCTCAGCCTGGTGTGTTGGGGGATTAATGGGATTCTCTGGCCTTCATTACCTAGCCTGCTTAAACCTCCTGTTTTATAGATAGGAAACCAGACAGGGGCAGGGGCTGGTTGAGGGTCGTACAAAAAGTCAGTGGGCCAGCTGAGACTGAAGCCTAATCTTCTAGTTTCACTAATGGGTATTAAAAACCTCTGCAGTGAACCGAGATCGCGCCACTGCACTCCAGCCTGAGCTACAGAGTGAGACCTTGTCAAAAAAAAAAAAAAACCTCTGCCAATATATGTAAGATGGCAGTAAATCAGCTGGGCGTGGTTGCTCATGCCTGTAATCCCAGCACTCTGGGAGGCCGAGGCAGGTCGATCACCTGAGGTCGGGAGTTTGAGACCAGCCTGACCAACATGGAGATACCCCATCTCTACTAAAAATACAAAATTAGCCGGGCGTGGTGGTACATGCCTGTAATCCCAGCTACTCAGGAGGCTGAGGCAGGAGAATCATTTGAACCCAGGAGGAGAAGATTGCGGTGAGCTGAGATCGTGCCACTGCACTCCAGCCTAGGCAACAAGAGCGAAACTCCCTCAAAAAAAAAAAAAAAAAGCAGTAAGTGCAAAGAAGGAAAACTGAGCAGGGTAAGGGGAGAAATGGCGTGTGGCTGGTATCTGCAGGAAGCTTCTCTGCTCCCATGGGACCCCCTCCCCAAACTAGAACAGGTCTTGGCCTTGGATTACTAGTGCAGAGTTCAAAGTGCAGACACTAGAATCAGACTGACCTGGGTTCAAGTCCCAGGTCTGCCACCCAGTAACTGTGAGACCTCAGGCAGGTGACATCACCACGTGGAGCCTCAGTTTCCTCATCCAGAAAGTGGGAATAGTTACATCTCACAGGACTGCCATGAGGATTAAAGGAAATTAGGCCCTTAGCTGACACTCAGTGGGCTGACCATAAATGGTGTACAAAAACAAACCAAACGGCCGGGCCCGGTGGCTCATGCCTGTGATCCCAGCACTTTGGGAGGCCAAGGTGGGTGGATCACCTGAGGTCAGGAGTTTGAGACCAGCCTGGCCAACATGGTGAAACCCCATCTCTACTAAAAATGCAAAAATTAGCCAGGCGTGGTGGCACATGCCTGTAATCCCAGCTACTCTGGAGGCTGAGACAGGAGAATCACTTGAACCCAGGAGGCGGCGTAAGCCTGCTGCTGCACTCGAGCCTGGGCGACAAAGAGCAAAACTCCATCTAAACAAACAAACAAAAGCAGCCTCCCACAGTGTCCCTCCTCCAGTCTCTCCTCAACTATTCATTCTGCACAGTGGCAACCACAATACCCTTTTTAAAAGCCGGGACCAGGTACAGTGGTTCCTGCCTGTAATCCCAGCACTTTGGGAAGCCAAGGCAGGAGGATCACTTGAGCCCAGGAGTTCGAGACCAGCCTGGGCAACATAGTGAGATGCCGTCTCTACAAAAAAAAAAAAAAATTAAAAAGTTAACCGGGTGTGGTGGCATGTGCCTGTACTCCCCACTACTCAGGAGGCTGTGGTGAAAGGATCACCTGAGCCTGGGAGGTCAAGGCTGTAGTGAGCCATGATTGTGCCACTGCACTCCAGCCTGGATGACAGCACAAGACCCTGTCTCAAAAAAATAAAAATAAAAAAGCCAGCCTGGACTATGTCACTTCTGCAAGGCCTCCCTCTGGGAACTTTCATGGCTCCCTAGTGCTTCCAGCAGTGCGTTGGTTCTTCACTCTGCAAAGGGTTGTTTGAATATGAGATGTGGTTGATAATATAACGGTTTACAGGCCAGATGCAATGCCTCACGCCTGTAATTCCAGCACTTTGGGAGGATGCGGCAGGAGAATCACTTGAGGTCTGGAGTTCAAGACCAGCCTGGCCAACATGGTGAAACCCTGTCTCTATTAAAAATACAAACATTAGCCGGATGTGGTGGTGCACACCTGTAGGCCCAGCTACTGGGGAGGCTAAGGCACAATAATTGCTCACCCGGGAGGTGAGCCGAGATCGCGCCATTGCACTCCTGCCTAGAGGACAGGGTGAAACTCTGTCTCAGAAAAAAAAAAAAAAAAAAAAGTCCCTCTCTATGTATAACAGCTTACACTTATTAAGTGCCTACCATGTGCCAGACACTGACTGCTCTAAATCCCTTGCATGATTAACTTATTTAATCCCCACAACTACTATTGAAATATTCTTGTTACTGTTATACACACACAGAAGAGGTTAAACAACTGTATCAGAGTCTGCACAGGAAAGGTAGCACACTCAGATGGAGTGTTGAGGAGAATTTAATAACGGGACTGTTGAAAAAGGTGTTAACATAGCGTAGGGAAATCAACAAGGCTGGTGCAGCACCCTGGGGCACAGCATGGGGAGTGGGCACCAGCCCTGGCCTGAAGGTGCAGGGTGGGGTGGTCACCAGATCCTGCAGTGAGTGGAGTCCAGCTAATGAGGGCTGAAACCTTCCAGGGAGGGACACCGCCAACTCACAGGGAAGAATGAATACCCCACCTGCTGGTGTCTCCTGTGAGCTAACCAACAGGATCACACAGAGCAAAGTTGCACGCTGTTACGGTCCCTGTGCACAGGTCCTCGGGAGAAGGAAGAAGGAGAAGGGGGAATGAGGCTCTGGAGGAACACAAGTAGGATGACTGAACAGGAACTGACTCAAAGTCACACCACGGATGGGTGGCCACTGGACCCCAGTAGCCCTTAATCACTGCGCCATCTTGTCTTTGGATATATATATTTTTTCCTTCCTTCCTTTCTCTTTTTCCTTTCCTTTCCTTTCCTTTCTTTCCTTTCTTTTCTTTCTTTTTTGAGATGGAGTCCACTCTGTCACCCAGGCTGGAGTGCAGTGGCATGATCTTGGCTCACTACAACCTCCTCCTCCCAGGTTGAAGCAATTCTCCTACCTCTGCCTCCCAAGTAGCTGGGATTACAGACACGCGCCACCGCACGCTGCTAATTTTTGTATTTTTAGTAGAGATGGGGTTTCGTCATGCTGGTCTCAAACTCCTGACCTCGAATGATCCGCCCATCTCAGCCTCCCAAAGTGCTGGGATTACAAGCATGAGCCACCGTGCTCAGCTTCTTTCATTTTTTAAATTTTTTGTAGAGCTAGGGTCTCGTTATGTTGCCCAGGCTGATCTCAAACTCCTGACCTCAAGTGGTCCTCCTACCTTGGCCTCCCAAAGCACTAGAGTTACAGGCATGAGCCCCTGTGCTTGGCCTTATTTTTATTTTATTTTATTTTTATTATTTTTTTAGAGATAGGGTCTCTGTCACCCATACTGGAATGCAGTGACACGATCATAGCTCACTGCAACCTCAAACTCCTGGTCTCAAGGGATCCTCTCACTTCAGCCTCCTAAGTAACTAGGGCTACAGGCATTTGCCACCACACCCAGCTAATTTTTAAATTTTTGTAGAGATGATATCTCACTATCTTGCCCAGGCTGGTCTCAAACTTTCAGACTTAAGTGATCCTCCCAATCCTCCCGCCTCAGCCTCCCAAAGTGCTATGATTACAGCCACCGAGCCCGGCCATTCCTGGGATACTAACGATGATGATGATAATGGTGGTGGCTTTGTTTCTCTCTCCCACAGAGTTTCCTTCTGACAGGAGGACCAGCCCCAGGGAGGCTGCAGGACCCCAGCACCCACCTCCTGGACCTGAATGAGCCCCTGGGTGAGTAGCAACCTGGGTATCCAGAGTCCCAGGGCACCCTCTCCCCTGGGAGGTGTGAGAGGGATGGAGCCATTCCAAAGGTGCTGGGGGACTGTCAGTGCTTGGAGATGACCTTGATGGAAATGGCAGCTCCTGTCTCTTCTGTCTTCTCATGGGCACTGCGGAGGAGAGAGGAAGAGAGACCCTAAGGGAGGCAGGGGCTCTCCAAAACTGCCCTTTGGGGTGGACGCCCGAGCCTAGGTCTCTGGAGCCTGCACGCCTATGATCACACTTTATTTATTTATTTATTTAGTTAGTTATTTAGTTATTTATTTTTGAGATGAAGTCTCACTCTGTCGCCCAGGCTGGAGTGCAGTGGCACGATCTCGGCTCACTGCAAGCTCTGCCTCCCAAGTTCAAGCTATTCTCCTGCCTCAGCCTCCCAAGTAGCTGGGATTACAGGCGTGGTGCGCCACCATGCCTGGCTAGTTTTTTGTATTTTTAGTAGAGACAGGGTTTCACCATGTTAGCCAGGATGGTCTCGATCTCCTGACCTCATGATCCGCCCATCTTGGCCTCCCAAAGTGCTGGAATTACAGGCTTGAGCCACCGCGCCCGGCCTATTTTTTGTATTTCTAATTTTATTTATTTATTTATTGAGACGGAGTCTCACACTGTTGTCCAGGCTGGAGTGCAGTGGTGCAACCTTGGCTCACTGCAACCTCTGCCTCCCAGGTTCAAACAATTCTCCTGCTTCAGCCACCTGAGTAGCTGGGATTACAGGCACACGCCACCACACCTGGCTAATTTTTTGTATTTTTAATAGAGACGGGGTTTCACCATGTTGGCCAGGCTGGTCTCGAACTCCTGACCTCAGGTGACCCACCCGCCTTGGCCTCCCAAAGTGCTGGGATTGCAGGCATGAGCCACTGCACCCAGCCTAAAAATGTTTTAAGATGAACAACAACAACAACAACAACAAATTAAAGGAAATGTCTTCCCATGTGGCTGTGGTGGTGATGCTGCTTCCCACAGCCCCTCCACAGAGCATGAGACAAGCTGTCATTTCCTAGTGCGTAGCTTCACTTGAAACCTCCAGGTATCAGCCAGAGGGATCTTTTCAGAGCCTGAATTGGACCCTGGCCCTCCTCTGCTCAAAACCCTTCTATGGCTCCCTAGTGCCCGTCAAAGAAAGATCAAGCTCCTCATTTGGATTCAGATCCCTGTAGGGTCCAGTCTCTGCCACATCTCAGACCATGCTGTGCTTCACACCCTCTGTTTCAGCCACAGTCACTGTCGTTCGGTTTATTCTTTCCTTCATGCATGTAACAAATATTTATGGAGCACGCCGTAAGCACCAGGCATGGTTTCGGGGGCTGCGGACTCACTGTGAACAAATTACACAGAAATCTCTACCCTCGCGGAGCTGACATTCTAGTGCAGGAGACAGACTGTAACAAAGAAATGAGTATGAGAAACTGTGCAAGAGGGAGGCTGGGCACGGTGGCTCTGTAATCCCAAAGCTTGGGGAGGCCAAAGTGGGAGGATCACTTGAGGCTAGGAGTTTGAGATCAGCCTGGAGAGTATAGCGAGACCTTGTCTCTACACTGCCCTTTCACCCAAGCTGGAGTGCAGTGGTGAAATCTTGGCTCACTGCAGCCTCTGTCTCCTGGGTTCAAGCGATTCTCCTGCCTCAGCCTCCCAAGTAGCTAGTACGTGCCACCGTGTCCAGCTAATTTTTGTATTTTTAGGAGAGACGGGATTTCACCATGTTGGCCAGGCTGGTCTTGAACTCCTGACCTCAGGTGATCTGCCTGCCTTGACCTACCAATGTGCTGAAATTACAGGTGTGAGCCACCGTACCTGGCCTAAAAAATTTTTTTTAATTGGCCGGGCATAGTGGTGCATGCCTGTAGTTCCCGCTACTCTAGGGGCTGAGATGGGAGGATCACTTGAGCCTGGGAGTTCAAGGCTGCAGTGAGCTATGATGGTGCCACTGTACTCCAGCCTGGGCAACACAGCGAGACCCTGTCTCAAATAAAAAAGTGCAAGAGGGCTGGGTGAGTGTTTTATGCCTGTAATCACAGTGTTTTGGGAGGCTATGGAGGGGAGGATTACTTGAGACCAGGAGTTCGAGACCGGCCTGGGAAACATGGTAAGACCCTGTCTCTGCAAAAAATTTTTAAAAACCAGGTGGGTGTGGTGGCACGCACCTGTTGTCCTAGTTATGGGAGGCTAAAATGGGAGGATTGCTTAAGCCCAGGAGTTCGAGGCTGCAGTGAGCTGTGACTGCACCAGTGTACTCCAACCTGGGTGACAGGGCGAGATCCTGTCTCTATTTATTTCTTTTCACATTTTTATTTTCTTTCTCTCTCTCTCTCTTTTTTGTTTTTTTTTTTTTTTTTTTTTTTTGAGACAGAGTCTCGCTTAGTCGCCCAGGCTGGAGTGCAGTGGCGCAATCTCGGCTCACTGCAAGCTCCGCCTCCCGGGTTCACGCCATTCTCCTGCCTCAGCCTCCCGAGTAGCTGGGACTACAGGCGCCCGCCGCCTCGCCCGGCTAATTTTTTTGCATTTTTAGTAGAGACAGGGTTTCACCGTGTTAGCCAGGATGGTCTCGATCTCCTGACCTCGTGATCCGCCCGCCTCGGCCTCCCAATGTGCTGGGATTACAGGCTTTCTCTTTTTTTTTTTTTTTAGAAGGGTCTCACTCTGTCACCCAGACTGGAGTGCAGTGGCGCACTGTCTGCTCACTGCGGCCTGCGTGCCCTCGGGCTCAAGCGATTCTCCCACCTCAGCCTCCCGAGTAGCTGGGACTACAGGTGGGCACCAGCACACTTGGCTTTTTTTTTTTGTATTTTTAGTAGAGACAGAGTTTCACCACGTTGCCCAGGCTGGTCTTGAACTCCTGAGCTCAAGTGATCCGCTCATCTCAGTTTCCCAAAGTGCTGGGATTACAGGCGTGAGCCACTGCACCAGGCTCCTGTCTCTATTTAAACAAACAGGCCAGGTGCGGTGGCTCACGCCTGTAATCCTAGCTCTTTGGGAGGCTGAAGCAGACGGATCACCTGAGGTGAGGAGTTCAAGACCAGCCTGGCCAACATGGTGAAACCCTGTCTCTACTAAAAATACAAAAATCAACCAGGCGCGGTGGCGGGTGCCTATAATCCCAGCTACTCGAGAGGCTGAGACAGGAGAATCACTTGAGCCCAGGAGGCGGAGGTTGCAGTGAGCCAAGATCACACCACTGCACTCCAGCCTGCAATACACCACTGCAATACAGCAAGACTCTGTCTCAAAAAATAAAAATACAAACAAATGAACAAAAAAAGAGTGGGAGATAAAAATAAGCGTAACAGGGGAAATGATGCATGCAAGGAAAAAGTTTGGAGTAGGGGGTTTCAGTTTTAAACAGTATGATCAGGGTGGTTTCATTGAGAAGGTGATAGTTGAGCAAAGACCTGGGGTGAGTCCTGACGATATCAGGGGGAAGAGTGTCCCAGGCAGAGAGAACAGCAAGTGCAGAGGCCTCAGGTGGAGACTGTATCTGTCTTTTTTTGGGGGTGGAGGGACAGGGTGGGTCTTGCTCTGTTGCCCAGGCTGGAGCACAGTAGTGCAATCACAGCTCACTGCAGCCTTGAACTCCTGGGCTCCAGCGATCCTCCCATCTCAGTCTCCCGAGTAGCTGGGACTACAAGTACACTTCATCATGTCTAGCTAATTTTTAAATGTTTGTAGAGAAAGAGGTCTTGCTGTGTTGTTTAGGCTGGTCTCAAACTCCTGGGTTCAAGTGATCCTCCTGCCTCAGCCTCCCAGAGTGCTGAGATTGTGCCTGGCTGTCTCTGTCTTATTTGGAGAAAAGCAAGGCCATTGTAGCTGAAGCAGAGAGGAGAGAAAGGTGAAGGCTGACTGCATGGAGACTCTGTGGGGCATTGTGATGGCTTTAAAGTCACCTTGCTCAAGGAGGCTGCCTCAGGGCCTTTGCATATCCTGATCCTTCTGCCTGGAATACTTTTGCCTCTGTTCTTTGCCATGTTACCACATCCTTTAGATCTCAAATCAAATATTACTCCTTACACAAAGCCCTCCCTGACTTCATATGCTAATGGTTTATAACAGTCCATAATTACACAGGCCTTTGGGTCATCATTTGATGACTGTCTGTCATCTTCTTTGGGTATGAGGCCTTCAAGGGCGGGGGCCAGGGGTGTCTGGGTGCCTGCTGTACTCTTCTTTGTGCACATGGGTGGGCAGTGGTTGAGCACAGAGGAAGTTCACAGCACATATTTGTGAGTGAGGAGCTAAGATTCACGCACTCGCGCTGTGTCTAGGTTTGTGCTAAATCTTGTATGTACCTGATCCAATTGGTGCTTCTCACTGGAATGTCGGTCCTACAAGAGCAGGGAGATTCATCCATCCTGGTCACTGCTGTCTCTCTAGCACCTGGCACAGTACCTGACACAAAGTAGGTGCTCAGTAAATGTGTCGGGGTTTTTTGTTGTTGTTTTTAAGACAGGTTCTCACTGTGTCACCCAGGCTAGAGTGCAGTGGCACAAACATGGCTCATTGCAGTCTCGACCTCTTGGGCTTAAGCAATCCTCCTACTTCAGCCCCCACAAGTAACTGGGACCACAGCCATGTGCCATCATGCCTGGCTGATGTTTGTATGTTTTGTAGAGACGAGGTTTCGCCATGTTGCCCAAGCTGGTCTTGAACTCCTGAGTTCAAGTAATCCACCTGCCTTGACCTCCCAAAGTGCTGGGATTATTGGCATGAACCACCGCACCCAACAGTAAATATGTTTTGAATGAATAAACTCTCATAAATGAAGTACGTGTGAGTATCCTGGTTTCCCAAGTAACAACAGCTGACTTAACTGCTTTTTCACCAGTACTAGTTATGGTTCAAAGCACCTTCCATAGATTTACTCATTTATTCCTTACAACAGCCCAAGAGGGAGGTGCTGTTATTAGCCTATCTTACAGATGAGGGAACTGAGGCACAGAGAGGTGAAGTTACCTGCCCCAGGTCACACAGCAAGTAAATATCAACGCCTGGATTCAAACTAGGGCAGCATCTGGCTCTGGACTCGGGTTCTTCACTGCAGTCCTGAACACCCCAGAGAGGTTCAAAGAGCGGAACGTGCCCAAGATGTCACTGCCGTTTGAATCCAGGCAGGCCTCCCTCACCACCCAGGCTTTTAAGTCCCAGGAAGGGGAAACGGGTTGGTGTGGGATCTGATGAGGTTTCTCTTCAAATAATCCAACCAATCTTTTTTTCTTTCATTCATAGTACCTCTCCCCACCGCCTTTTTCCCTTTTTCTCCTTTTTTCCTTTTTGCCTTTTTTGAATGCCCAGACACGCCACAATACCAGGCGTTATCAATACCAGCTCACGTTCCTTTCCTTATTTAAAAAAAGGACTAACTTTCTAACTCATTGCGGACACCGCTTCCCCTTTCCTCTCCGCTTTCTTTAACGTGCCCATCTTATCTAAACAAATCAAATGTTTAGCCAACCGAAATTAGTTTAAATTGTATAACCCGACCCCAGCCAATAAAAAAAAAAAGTACAAAAGCAAGACTTGCGTCAAAAATAAAGGCTCTCGTGCCCCTTTGTTCAAGCGTGCTCTCCTGGTAACTAGCCAAAGAGGCACCCCTCTGTGCAAAAGTAAAATTACTTTACTAAAAATCCTTTGTTCAAGTGTTCCGTTTCCTTCAGATTTTAAACATTCTTTCAAACATTGGGGTTATGGTTGTCCTCTGATTTATCTTCCATCTTTGCAGGCCTGGGCCCCTCACTGCTCTCTCCGTACTCCGACGAGGACACTACCCAGCCCAGGGACCACTTCCAGCCAACGGCAGGCTCGGCCCAAGCCGACTGAGCCGCCTCCTCTCCCCATCTGCCTTCTCCTCCCCCAGAGAGGACCTCAACCACACTCCAAGCCGGCAGCCAACGCACAGGATGGGGATGCCAGGAGAGGGGCCCCTCTCCTCTCTATGTGCCCCCTGCCCACCTCGGGCCTACCTCAGCCCTCACCCCTCTGCCTGCTCCCAATCTGGGGGCTCTTTGGGGTAGTCTCAGCTCAGTGACCTCTGGGAGGGGGTCCCTGGCTCCCTCCTCCTCCTCTCAGGATTTCTCTTGGGGTTCTCAATACTTGGTTACCTCATTATCCCTTTCTCTGCCTCTCTTGGCTTTATTTTGGGGAATTAGGGGTGGGGAGGGTTGGCGGGGGTCATATCTGTGTTTCCAGGTTCTGGGGAGAACAATGATCCACAGGTCAGTGTGATCACGTTTCCTTCTCTCCTTATGTTATTATTTTTATTTTTGTCAATTTCGTGATATGGTTTTTAATCATGATGAATTGCCTGGGGTCTGTAAGAATGTGGGACTCTGATCTTCCCCCCCTCCTCAGGTGTCAGTCGGGGGAGGCCCTGGGCCAGACGTTACTCCCAGCGACTTCTAATTGAGGCCAAAGCCCCCCAAGCCCTGCCTGCCAGCCCTGCCTGCCCCTTCCACTCTGGGCTTCCTGCTGCCCCCAGCTTTGCCTGGACACTGACTTCATTCATGGTCCTCCTACTTCAGGAGCAGCCTTCCACTTCCTCTGCTTCCAAACTATGCAACCTCCAACCTGCTCCAGTTCCAGACCGTATAACCTCTGACCTGCACTGGTTCTAGACCACACAACCTCCAATGTGGTCTGCTTTAGACCTCCTCCTCTTCCTCCTCCTTCCTCTTTCTCTTCCTCTTCTTCCTCTTCCTCTCTTCCTCTTCCTCTCCTTCTTCTTCTTCTTTTTTCTTTTTTTTTTTTGAGACAGAGTTTTGCTGTGTCACCCAGGCTGGAGTTCAGTGGTGCAACTTCGGGCTTACTACAGCCTCCACGTCCTGGGTTCAAGTGGTTCCCCTGCCTCAGCTTCCCAAATAGCTGGGACTACAGGCATGTGCCACCATGCCCAGCTAATTTTTGTATTTTTAGTAGAGACGGGGTTTCACCACGTTGTCCAGGCTGGTCTCGAATTCCTGACCTCAAGTGCTCCACCTGCCTCAGCCTTCCAAATTGCTGGGATTACAGGCGTGAGCCACTGTGCCCAGCTAGGACTCACATTCTCTAAAATCCCTCTGCTTCAAATTTCACCATCTTCAACTCTTTCTAGTTCTGGACCTCACCAACCTCTCATTCTGCCTGTTTTCAAACCTCACGGTCCCCAAAAATTGTCTGGTTCTGGGCCTCGCAACCTCTAACTCCCTCTGGCTCTACAGTCTATGACTCCCAGATTCTTTTGGTTCTAGAATTCACTAACTTCCTCTGGTTCTAGACCTCTTCCTATAAATTAATCTCTCTTGTTCTAGATCTCACACCCTCCAACTCCCCCTGGTTCCAGATCTTATATTCAGCGATTTCCTCTGGTTCTGAACCTCACAACGCCAAGCTTCGTGTTGGTTCCACTCCTCCTGATTGGTAATATATTTGGTTCCAAATCCAGACCTCTTAATATCTCTCTTTTTTTTCTTTTTTTTTTTTTTGGTCGTCCAGGCTGGAGTGCAGTGGGCAGTATCGTCGCTCACTGCAAGCTCCGCCTCCCGGGTTCACAGCGCATTCTCCTGCCCTCGCCTCCTGAGTACGCTGGGTTAGGTGCCC